GTCATACATCATATGTGTCATTGTTGTGAATGATGCATGTTCACTAGTTCAGAGTGGGGACTAGTGACTTATCATAAGCCTTGAATGGGGCTTGGAGCTCAGAGTGTGGGCTCGAGGTTCGGAGAGATTAGGATCCGGTTCACATGAAGAACCAAAATGTTGAGTCGATGCCACATGCATATATAGAGCTGAGTTGTGAGTCTGGTTCAGATTGAGGATTGTGACGAGCATGAATCAAGTCATTGTTGCATTATATCTCATGATTGTGAATGGATGATTGTGATGCGGGTGAGATGTCAATACATGCCATTGGTGTGTTTTCTGATATGTGGATGATTTTGTAGATATGTGAATCTATCCTGAATGTTTATGCATCATTTTTAATTTAAATGTATTCTCACCCATTTTATGTTATTGCGCATGTGCTCTTTTAGAGTACATATAATAAAGTATCTGAGTAAGAGCTTGAGGTTGAGGACGGTGTTGTGCCTCTTTAGTTGCTTGTCATTCGGGTCTATAGTTGGAGTCACTCTGATACATAACATGAGGGGAACGAGTTGTCCTATATTTGTTTTTAATGCGTATATTTTTGTTTGATTTTATTTTTCAATGAACCACCTTTTGAACTACTAATGTTGTTGAGGGTTTTATGCCAAGTGTTTTTGTAATTCCACTTCTTATCAAATGAATTATTTCTTTATAATATGGTTCAAAATGGTTTGATGGTTGTGAGTAGCATCCTACTTGGTGAATAATCATGTTTTATACATGTTTTATTATTTATTTGTTGAGTCGAAAATTAGGGTGTTAGACTGCCCATTGGTGGTGATTCTAGGAAGCTCAATTTCTGGTATCCTCTAATTGATCAGATTAAAAAAAGTTTTTCGAGGTGTAAGAGTCACTTTCTCTCTACGGGATTCGTCCAATTCTCATTAAGTTTGTCATGCCATCCATTCTGCTCTACTTTCTTTCCTTCTTCAAGGCGTATGTAGGTATCATATCTTTTCTTGAATCTATTTTTAATGCATTTTTCAGAGGGGGGAGTGAGGAAGTGAATAAAATTCTCTATAATAAATGGGATTACTATTTAAAAAAAGAAAAAGAAAATGGAGGTTTAGGGGTTAGGAGGTTGAAGGAGTTTAACTTAAAATTACTTGATAAATGGTGTTTGAGGATTCTAAATGAGACGAAAAGTATTTGGTATAAGGTATTGAGTGCTTGGTATGGTGAGGAAGAGGACGCTTATGTTTGGGGGAAGATGGTGGGTCTGTTTGGTGGAGGAATTCGAAAAACAACAGGGAGGGTTTCAATTTCGTTAATAGGGGGTGGTTGCTCGATAACATTGATCAGAAGATGGGAGATGGGGCTTCTACTTTGTTTTGGGAATACCTTTGCCCTGATAGTTGATAACGCGAAATTATATCGGATATTTGACTTGACTTACATGAATTTTAACTGCTTTTATTACTGTTTTATTTGATTTATCTTCGATTATGCCTTTGTTTTCTTGCATTTTGTAGGTTACCATAAATATAGACTAAAAGAATAAAAGGAGGAATAAATGAAGGAAATGGAAAGAAAAGAGGAAGAAAGGACCAAATAAAGAAAAGAAGAAGAAAGAAAGAGAAAGGAAAGAAAAAAGGGTGGGGGCCACCACACACCAAGTGGCACTTGTCACTTGGGTGTGGCGCCTGCCACCTTGCGTATAAGAAGGAGTGTGGCGTCTGCCACCTCCAAGGAAGGAGGGGGAGTGGCGAGTGCCACTCCTAAGGAATAGGAGAATGGCAACTGCCACTCCTAAAAGAACGGGAAGTGGCGTCTGCCACTTCCTCCCCAGAATTTCTCCATTTCCCCCTATTTTTTCACAACCTCCTGGCTACATTTCCTCCTATTTTCACTCCTCATTTCAGGCTTGAATTGGTGTAACCGTTGCCCACTAGCAAATATAAAAGAGAAGACAGTTTTGGAAGAAAGGGGGCACGTAGTACTTTTCTGTTTTCATTTTGTTTTCCGGCATTCTGTTTTAGTTTCTTTTTACATTTTTTAGAGAATTTTTGTAAGGCAATTGTTTTTCACGCTGATAAACAATTTCCATTTAGTTTTAGGATTGATTCAAAAAGGTTGTAATATTGTACCGAACTGCAAGTCGGCCTTCATAATCAAATCCAAGTTTTGTTCTTCATATCGCCAGGTTCCTTCTATTTGTTTTTATTGTTACCGTCATATTTTTATGCATCCCTTATATTTTATGCTTATAATTAAGATTAGATTTAGTATTAGTATGAAGGCCATGTCTGGATAAACCTCTTAGTATCAGTATGTAATTACGATCGGTCGGAGGGGAGTTAAGTAAATCGTGACGTAAATTTAATGGAATCAATTATTCTGGTCTTTGTTTCTTTTAATAAATTAATAACTTTTTTTTACGAGAGTAAGAAAGTAACGAAGGTTAAGATCAATAAAGCGAGAGTTTGAGGTCTTAACCGGATAGCTGAAACTGAACATTAGGCTTAAATACAGTGAGATCGCTTTAAAGTTAATTAGGATTTATTTGTTTTCAAAAAGTGTTTTTAAATGCAAAATGAGAGAGCGAGAGCCGCATTTTGATTTGAGAGCATAGTCTAAGTCAAGACCACGAAAGTTTGAGATAAGGCATTTTAAATAAGTATTTTCTACAGAATAATAATTTTACCTTTTAAACTAAACGCCCACGAATTACTGAACCCCCGATGATTGACAGGATTATATACCGATATTTCACATTATCTTGATTTAATTTGATTTTAATTATGCACTTATTTTCTTACTCGCATCCCAAATTTAGAAATCCATTAGCCTTAGCTTTACAGAGTAGCATTAGATAGCGGTAGATCGACTCTTGGTCCTTTGGGTTCGATAATCTTTTAAAACTATACGATCAGACTGTGCACTTGCAGTCACGAAGCATTTAGACATACTAAATTAGCGATCAATGGTATTTCTTTGAAGATAAGATTTAGTAGGCTATTTGATTCAGTGGAGAATAAGATGGTGTCAGCCATATAGATGAATGAGTTGGGGTGAAAGGAGAATGGTGAGTCGTGGAAGTGACCTAGGAGGTTTCTTGTGTGGGAGTAAGAGTTATTGGGAGAGTGTATTGAGCAGTTAACGTCAGCTTTTTATAGGTGGACATAGAATATTGCTGGATTTGGAATTTACACCTATCTTCTTGTTACACGGTCAGTAGTGCTTATAAAAATTTGTCTGAAGTTGACGAAAACAATAATCAGGATAATTCCCAAATTTTATTGTTGAAGGTTGTGCCACTTAAGGTTTCTATTTTTGTCTGGCGGATGCTTTTGAATCATATTCTAATGAAGGGCAATTTGGTGAGGCGAAAAATTCTTGTTATGATCGATCAAAGATGTGTGGCAAATTGTGGCGTGGATGAAGACAAAGATCAGTTGTTTGTAAAATGTGATTCTTTTGGTAGACTGTGACCTACTATTTCTAATTGGTTAGGTTTCTCAACAACATTTCAAGGAAAGTTATTGGATCATCTCTTAGTGTTTTGTGGGTTGGGTGATTTTTCAAAGAATGTTTGGTTGCTTCTTAATGCTATTTGGCTCTATGTGACTTGTGTTATTTAGAAAGAGCGAAAATTCGTATTTTTCATAATAAAGATGAGCATTTGCAGGGGTTATCAAAAAAGGTAAAGCTTCGGTCTTTTTTATGGTTGAAGTTGAAATATGTTTCTTTTGATTTGGATTACTAGGTTTGAAAGCAAAATCATTTATCTTACTTATCAACTATTTTGTAAACCGCTTCTTTTTCATAATTTTGTGTTGTAATTTTGGATTCTTTCTTATCATCTTCAATATCTTTAATACATCTTGTAATAGAATGACTTGCGTTAATCGTTAATATATTTTTCATTTTTTTTCTTTAAAAAAATGCTTAAATGCATTTTTGGTCCTCCTATTTTGATGTTTTTTAATTTTAGTCCCTCCATTTTAAAAATTAGTTTTTTGGTCCCTAAATTTTACATCACTTGGAATTTGGTTGGTCCCCCTTCACTTTTGTATATGTGACAATGATGATTGAGATGAAAAATTATTTTTAATTACGTGGCATTGATGACTAAACTTTACATCACTTGAGATTTGGTTCAACCCCCTTCACTTTTGCATACGTGACAATGATTGGGATAAAAAAATATTTTTAATTATGTGGCATTGATGACTAAGTTATTTTATTATTTAATATTATTTAATTATTAAATTAGTTAATTATTTATAATTTTAATTATATATTTTTAACTCAATTAATTAAAGTATTTAAAAGGACATTTTGGGCCTAATTTTAATGGCCCATATTTTACACAATAACTTTTCAATTCCAAATGTATAACATGTATTAGCTTTATATACACTAGCGTCCAGACGGGCACTCTCGTGCCTGTCTGTCCGCTTTTTTAATATTCAGACGTTTAAAAATATAAACGTATTTTTTGTGTGTATATTTTTTTTAATTTAAATTTTATATAAAAATTTGAATGAAATAGTTGTGCAAACTACTATATAACAGTTAATAAAAAAAATTAACAAAAAAGAAGTTGAATTTTAAAATAAAAAACAAAAGGGTATAATTGAAATAAAAACAGGCTACACCAAATCCAAATTTTTCCTTTATATATGTTATAGATTACAATTCTATCTATAAAAACGACACGGGACAATAAAGTTGCAGTAAATTGTTCATCATCTTCAATTACAAACAAATGAACTTCATCTTTCATGTTAACCCAATTACACCCAACTTCTTTCTTCATTGCTGCAAGTAGTGCACCAAAGAACACATTCCCTTAATGGATAACCAACTATGAGAAAATTCATGTTGACAAAAGACCTATCCAATCTCAAGAGGCTACTTTCAGGAGATCCGTTGACAAGACAATTAAGACGATCTTTAAAAAGCCAGACGAAGGGTCGAGCTCAATATCTCTGATCTTCCAGACAATGATGATCCAACCAGTTCTCAAAGAAGATCGGTGTCCTGTCTATGCTGTTACAACAGATGGAAAACCCATCTACACCTATAAAATAGATGGCCACTTCATTTGGGATGTTGATCCAACAAGATGTGACCCAGATTGTGACTGCTGGATGCACGACAATGATATTGAACGAGATATCATTCTTCCCAAAACAAAGAAAAAGGGAAGGTGTAAACCCTCGCCACCTCCTCAAAGAAGACCTGATCCAGATAATGGTCCATGGGTAGGAATCCATAGAAAAAAGAAACCCCTCTGTATCTACGAGGAAGGACTTAAAATCCTCAGGAAAGAAGGATTGTTACCTCCGGATGATCCGACTCTTATTACATGGTCACCAACAGACCATTGTAAACCGCTACATCCTCCAGATGTTGCTCAGCCAATTCCTTGCTTTATGTATTCAACCAAAACTTCAGAGTACGACCGACAATTTCCTGCTTCAGAAAGAAAAATGGATCCAATCACAGGCAGAACATCCAAACCCTTTATTCATCCGAGTGAAGTCCAGCCCTATGGGAAGCTTAAAACTTTAACTCAGGCTGAGGAAGTTTTGAATTGGCAATCTGAAAACATGGTTTCTCAAAATGAAATTCTTCAAAACCTTGACAAAAAGGTAGATAAGATTGCTGAAAAAATAGACGAGACAGGTGAAGATCTCAAGGTTTTATCCCAAAAAATGCAGAAACATTACAGAAGCTTGAAAGCCTAAGTATCCCAGCTAGATCGGGATTTGTGGGAGATGTTAGAAGAAAAAGCTTTTGGTAAAACATTTGACCAAAAGGAAAGAGAAATCAGAAGTCTACAAAGCCAAGTAAAAGAGATAGATGATTTCTTAAGAGCCTCTCATGAAAGAAAGCCTAAACCAGTTGAAAACTCTTTCTTGGACCTTCCTACTTTTCCTACATATTTCAAACGACTAGAAAAGCCTTCTCCTTTCTACCCCGCCTATGTTTCATCACCATCAGACCCAGTTAAATACATACCAACAACTTACATACCAAAATCTTTCAGAACTACCACTACCTCAACCTCCAATACAAAGGGGAAAACTGCCTGCTTAAGCGCTTCATCCTCAGACTCTCAAGATATCCCTGAAACACCTCCTTCAAAAATCCAAAAGGAAGATGAAATTCCTAATAAAGGTTTCCAAGTCATGACAATCACTACAAATCATGAATCTCCTCGAAAAGATCACTCTGAATCATCAAAACAAAAGGGAGACGAGTCTTTCTCAAACGGTGACAACAACTCTGATCCATAATCATCTTCTGATGAGACACCAAGACCTTTTTCAACTAAATCAGAATATGAAGACAACTATTTCCTAAGACTCTTCATGGCGAATGTAAAAGAGGAAGAATCCTTTTTTGAAGATGAATCACCTGAAGAAACTCTTGTCCCTGAAAGGACTAAACCAAACGGAGGTCCTTGGTTCACTTTTGATGATATACCACCTAGCCGCTGGAGAAAAAGACTACTTGAAATTGGAGCTTGGCCTGACACCCAAATGATGAAAACAAGTGCAGATAGCTATAAGATTACTGAAGAATTTTGTTGTAGAATGACGGACACGACGAAAGAATGGTATCACAATCTTGGAGCTTTCAAACAAGATGAGTTACACCGTCTAGAAACTATAGCTATTGTTCTTGGGGTTCTTCACCGAGAATTTATCGGTGATATGGAAATATTTGATAGGAAAAACAGACAAGAATCAATGTTGTCTATCTGCAAAAATTACTAACTTTCTGTAATAATTTTTTTTAGTCTTTTTCCTGAAGTAATTGTTAGTATATTATTGGATTCATTAAAAAGGGAGAGAGTTGACTTATATGTTTGACTTACGTGTGTCCACTCCTTGTTTGCATCATATCACGTGCATCGTATATTCATCAATGAATAGTGATTGCAGAGCCCACTTCTACAGATAATATCACTCCCTAGTTTCTTTCTCAACTTTCTTACTAAATGCAGAAAATAGTGTTAAAATGAAGATAACCGCGTATATTTGAAAGAACAACCACCAATAGCAAAAAGACTTCCAAGTTTGTATAAAAATTCTAAGTTTGCAGATTTTTTTTTGGGTCTAGGCATGTATGTGAACACATAACCACACCTCTTTCTTAAAGAGAGAGAAAGAGGGAGAGCACGCATTAAGCGATATAAGAAATTGATTTCAAAAGGAAAACTCTTCAAGTCTTAACTCCGAAAGAGAGGTTTCAACATAAGAAAAAAACAACTAGTATTCACCACCAAGTTTAGACATTTTGATGTGAGAGAAACCAAAGAGAAAAAAATTCTCAACTACTAACTCATAGGAACAATTGTTTTTCAATATACCACAAGACAAGGTGAGAGCTAAGCTAGACACAAATCATCTTCTATAACATCCAATACTATGCAGAGTTTAGATTGTATTTAATCGAGAGATTGAGCACATCTCCAACCAAATGCAATGAGAAGAACATACAACCATTAGTATAAAATGGTTGTCACCATACAACAATCTTTAAAGTCCCACGTTATTTGGTTTGGATTTTGTTTTAGTATTTATATATCATAAATTAGCTTCATTTAACATTAAATTGTGGGTTGAAGAAATAATCCAATTTTATGTCCCTTTAAGGGACAAAAAGTGTATTTAAACTTTTAAAATTCATGAATTAAAATGTTGCAAATGTTTCGGATAGAAATTAATTTTTTATTTAAACTTTACAAAGTCAAACTTACTTTTTGTCAAAAACAAATTCAAACATTTGCGATTATTGAAAAAAAAAATTAGAGTTTTTCCTAATGTACACATGCATCTTACTCCATTTCAACCAATATGAATCTAAAATGAATATAGTCTTGATTCCCAACAAGATTCATTTTTGGCATCATCTAACCAGATAGTTATGAATCATGTTATAAGAGAAAAGCCAGCCAGATAGATACTAACAAATTTAAATCTCTACAAAAAAGCTTCTTTATTCCACATTTATTTCTATCGGGCAATATGGACACTGATCAAGAAATCAAGCAAGTTTTAAGTATCCCCTTAAACTTTACTACTAACTTTATTAATCATTATCATTATTTTCCATGCGAACACGTTTTTGTTTTATTCCAAAAACTAATTCATTGACTTTCAGTTACAAACGAGGACGCATCCAGATCCGACGACGAAAATTCTCCGATCGAACAGGTAGCACTCACAGTTCCGGTAATCGACGATCCATCCCTACCGGTCTTCACTTTCCGAACATGGATATTAGGAACTCTCGCCTGCGTTTTTCTCTCTTTCTTGAACCAATTCTTTGGGTTCCGCCGAGAGCCTCTTTCAGTCACGGCAATCTCAGCGCAGATTGCGGTGGTTCCGTTGGGTCACCTAATGGCAGCGACGCTGACGGACAGAGTTTTCATGAAAGGGAAGAAGTGGGAGTTCACGCTGAATCCCGGGAAATTCAACGTGAAGGAGCACGTGCTTATTACCATATTCGCTAGTTCGGGTGCTGCTAGTGTTTACGCTATTCATTTCGTTAGCGCAGTTAAGGTTTTTTACAGGAAGGAGATAACGGTGTTGGTTGCGTTGTTGGTTGTTTTGACGACGCAGGTTTTGGGATTTGGTTGGGCCGGGGTTTTCCGTCGTTACTTGGTGGAGCCCGCTGCTATGTGGTGGCCGCAAAATCTCGTCCAAGTGTCGCTTTTCAGGTATCTTATCTTTTTTTTTTTATCAAAATAAATTGAGTTATGGATATGCAATGTCATTCAATAAGTGTGTGTTTGATTTAGTTTGAACCATTCAGAATTGATTTGGAATGTGCAGAATTAATTCTGATTTTTTTTGTTAAAATTTATTGCTTAAGCCATTTTTACAAAAATTTATTTAGATATATATCACTTTATTTTAAATTAATTTTAGTCTAAATTAATTTTAGATAATCAATTCTTTAAAATCATTTTTTTAAGGTAGAATTTAAAATAAGGTAAAGTAATATAAAATGCATCATCCCTTGGACGGCAATGTCGATTAAAAATTGATAAGTTTTTTATAGAATTAAATAAAAATTTAAATAATCCCGTTAACCCAGAGACATTATCACTTCTGTTTACATAAATGATGTTCAACTTGGACAACTATCCCTTAAATTTTAAGAGCAAAAGTTAGAGTGGTTTTAGGCAAACTTTGGATAAAATAAAAGAGATGTTGATGTACTTAAGGAGGGAAAAAGATGTGAGAAAAATTAAAAGGGAGAAAATTAGAAAAAGTTAGAGAAATGAAAGTGAGAGATACTTGGACACAGTGCTAGTTACACAGCTGCTTATGTTTAATCTAAGTATTCTATCCCATCAAAACATAATGAACTTGATTTGTTTTCAGGGCACTACACGAAACAGAGGAGAGACAGAAAGGAGGGTTAACACGAAATCAGTTCTTCCTTATAACATTTATATGCAGTTTTGCATATTATGTGTTTCCAGGCTACTTGTTCCCAATGCTAACATCACTCTCTTGGGTATGTTGGGTGTTTCCCAATTCAGTTATAGCACAACAGCTAGGTTCAGGGTTAAATGGTCTTGGACTTGGAGCTGTTGGATTTGATTGGTCCAGTATATGTTCTTATCTTGGTACCCCTTTGGCTAGTCCATGGTTTGCTACAGCTAACATTGCTGCTGGTTTTGGCATTTTCATGTATATCGTTGTTCCTATTGCTTATGGCCTTAATCTTTACCATGCAAGAAGATTTCCCATCTTTTCAGATGGTTTGTTCAGCTCTAATGGTAAAAAGTATAACATCTCAGCTATTACTGACTCTAACTTCCACCTTGATTTGGAAGCTTATCAACGTGAGGGCCCTCTTTATCTTAGCACCATGTTTGCTATGTCATATGGTATTGGTTTTGCTTGCCTTTCTGCAACTCTTGTTCATGTCTTGCTCTTCCACGGGAGGTATGTATATAATTAGAGTTGTGTTGAATTTCTATGCATGTCACTTTACACAATTGTAGTTCTAAATCAGTTACGCTGCAAGCCATAATATTGCAGCATAATAAGGCCGATGCAGATGCAATTGCTGTCATGATGACGTTGTGGAAATTTCTAAAACTTTTATAGTTGTGGAAATTTCTACAATTGCATTTGTAGAACATAATTGAGAACTAATAACATGATCGTAGTTGTAAATTGCTGTTGCGGCTAAACTGCAAACCTTGATATTGCAGTAAAATATGGCCAATGCAGATGCAATTGCTGTAGTTATGCTGCGCGCAGGGATTCCAAAAATCTTTATATTGCTGTTGGCTGTTGCAATTGCATTTTCACACTGCAATTTAGAAATCTAGAACTATATGCATGATCATATTTATAAATTGCGCTTGCAGTTACACTATAAACCTTGATATTGCAGCAAAATGCACAAAACACAGTTGCAATTGTTGCTGTGATGCCGTTGCAGAGATTGCTAAAATATTTATATTTCAGTTGCAATTGTTTCTGTGATGGCATTGCAGAGATTGCTAAAATATTTATATTGCAGTTGCAATTGCAATTGTAGTTGGGGACCGCAATTGATCAATATATGTTGCCACTGCCACCTTATTTAATGAATTTAAAAACATATGATTTACATCACCGGTTGATAATGTGCTCTCTGTGCAGTGATATATTGCAGCTAAGTAAGTCTGCTTTTCAAGGAAAGAAGATAGATATACACACGAAGATCATGAGAAAAAATTACAAACAAGTTCCTGAATGGTGGTTCTTGTGCATTCTTTTGTTCAGCATTACGGCAGCTATGTTTGTGTGTGAGTATTACAACGATCAACTCCAGCTACCATGGTGGGGTGTGATGTTAGCATGTGTTGTTGCTGTATCATTTACTCTTCCTGTTGGAATAATCCGAGCTACGACAAATCAGGCACCTGCTTTAAATGTGATAACAGAGTACATAATTGGATACATCTACCCTGGCTATCCTATTGCAGTCATGTTGTTTAAAGTGTATGGGAACATGAGTATGAAACAGGCGATTTTCTTTTTGCAAGATTTTAAGCTTGGCCATTACATGAAGATTCCTCCTAGAGCAATGTTCTTGGCACAGGTTTGCACAATACTCCCTTTACATGAGTTGATTTTCTTATGTTGTATTGATCTAAACTGTCTTGTAACCTATGAAATAATAAAATTAACTGCATGTGTCAGGTCGTATTAGTGTAGGTCGTGGACACTAGACAGACATGCATTCAATCTAAATTGTCTTGTAATTTATGAAGCATCGAAACAAACAAAGATACGGGCATCAGAAACAATACTGAAATTAACACGTCGACATTAACAGTAATTTGAGAAATAAAATAGTTAAATGGAACTGGTGTCAGACTCGTGAAACTAAAATGTGTCAGACAACAAATACACTTTTAATCTTTTAATCTGAAGTGTCGATACTCCATATACAAGTAGTAATTATGATTCCCTTGCTTAATTACACTATTTCCTCTGGCAGGTACTTGGCACAATAATAGCTGCAATTGTGCATCTATTGACAGCATGGTGGCTAATAGAAACAGTTCCAGATATATGCCATAGGGAATTGCTTCCAGCAGGAAGCCCGTGGACTTGTCCAGGAGATCATGTATTCTATGATGCATCTGTGATATGGGGTTTGATAGGGCCTCGCAGAATATTTGGAAATCTAGGACACTACTCGGCCATCAACTGGTTTTTCTTGGCTGGTGCTACTGCTCCTTTAGCTGTTTGGCTAGCACACAAAGCCTTCCCTGATAAACCATGGATTAAACTTATTACTATGCCTGTGCTCTTAGGAGCATTATCCGAAATGCCTCCAGCTACACCAGTTAACTACACTAGTTGGGTTCTTGTTGGATTTGCCTCGGGATTTGTTGCTTACCGTTACTATCGTGGTTGGTGGACCCGTCACAACTATCTCTTGTCTGGAGCACTTGATGCTGGATTAGCCTTCATGGGAGTTTTTCTTTACTTGTGTTTGGGGATGCAGCATATCAGCCTAGATTGGTGGGGTAGTAACTCAGATAGATGCCCTTTAGCTTCATGTCCAACTGATTCTGGTGTCATATCTAAAGGGTGTCCTATTTTTTGAGTATGTATAGGTATGAAGAAATGCAGTTGTAGAATTAGCTAAGATACACGTAAATGTCACCATAGCTCTCCATTCTTCCTTGTGTACATGATTTGTATTGATTTTTGTAAAATATTTAATTTGATTGAGAAAGTTGTTGTAAAGTTTGCATTCAGTGATAATTTGCATACTCCCATATAGTATTTTCATGATGATATGTCTTTTGTTAGGGTAGGTTGAAAATATATATGTTAAAAAAATTTCACATCGCTTAGTTTTATAAAGAAAGTGGGAGTCTAAGGCTATATATAGGATTCAAGTTCATCGTTACAAAATGAATCGGTAAAAAATACTTTAAACTTGTATTTGACTTTTTTATTCTCATATACTCTTGTGTTAGAGTGTTATGAGATATAGTTAAATATTTGCTTTGGAGCGTGTGGATGTACTGCGGGTTGGAGATAAATGAGAGTAAATTATGTGTTGTAACAATTTTCATAGAGTATTACTCTCTGGTTGCCATTTGACAACGACTTTGTTTCTTATCAGGTTTTAAAGTTTCCACGTTATATCATTGTGTTGTTATTGTGTTCCTATTTTTTTTTATGCTTTGTTTTTTCCAACAACTGGTATTACAACTTTTGGTTCGATCTAGGGATATGAGTTGTTAGTATGCTATGTGGTTGCAGGTATGTCTGATCTTCCACATCAGAAAAGAATGATGATATTGTGAAAGAGGTTTTGAGCTGCAGTCACAAATTCCGCTGTGCAGTTCGAGTTAGAGAAAATTAATGGAATTGTTTTTTACCTATAAAAAATTCAAGTCAAAGATGTGTTGATACAATTAGGATTACACAATGTGTGAGATTATGTCGGTGGTTAAAGAGTTTTCTGACAACATGGAAGTTGCACCATAATTTTGCAAGGTTTAGTTTCAAGTGAAATATATTCTTCATGAAAGAAGATTTAATTGTCGATGATGACAATGTGAAAATTCTTGGAGTGATACAACTTCAATTGACTATACTCTTTATGGTGGAGTATGATTATTGGTGAAGACAATGAAAGTTGATGTATTATTTTCAATCAAGATAGAGATTGTTGGGATTGGTCGAAAATACACATGTTGATACTTTTTAGGGTGGAAAGTGGAGATTGTTGGGATTGGTTGAAAAGATACATGTTGATACTCTTTAGGGTAGAGTATGAATGTTGGTGAAGATAATGATAATTAAAGTATTATTTTTAATCAAGGTGGAGATTGTTGGGGTTGGTTGAAAATATACATGTTGAAAAAGTCTCACATCGTTTAGTTTTGTGAAGGTAGAGGGAGTCCAAGGCTATATATATGATTCAAGTTCTTCATTATAAGATGCATCAGTCAAAAGCACTTTAAACTTGTATTTGACTTTTTTATTCTCTTATACTCTTGTGTTAGAGTGTTGTGAGATGTAATTAAATATTTGCTTTGAAGAGTGTGGGTGTACTGGGAGTTTGGGGGTAAATTATGTGTTGTAACAATTTTCACATAATATTATTTTCTAGTTGTCATTTGACAATGACCGTGATTTTTTCTCCAGTTTTGGAGTTTCCACAGTATATCATTGTGTTGTTATTCTCGGGAGAGCGGAAGTGGATCCTAGTGTGGATCAAGACTAGTGATATGAGTGACTCACACTTGTGAGGAAGAGTGTTGGCATTCAAGTGTGAGTGGTAAAGTCCCACATCGACTAGAAATGGAGGAAATATTGGGTTTATACGAGAAATGACTCATACCCCTAAAGCCTTAAGGTTTTTGATGAATATGTGGTGTCAAAGTCTCTTGGAACCATGAATGTTTAGCCCATTGACACTTCATACTCTCCCCGTACTTCCCAACAAGTGGTATCAAGAGCCTTGTTTTGGTAGGGTATAAATATTTTTAGTATGCTCTGTGGTTGCAGTTTTATCTGATCTTCCACATCAGAAAAGAAATTTTATACTCTATGTTGGTTGGAAAATTTTTGTTTTGCTACAGAAAAGGTTTTTGCTGCAGCGTCATATTTTTCAAGTGCAATGAACATTTACTTAGAGAAATTTGATGGAATAATCAATTTTGTCTTGTGAAAAATTCAAGTCAAAGATGTTTTGATGCAATCATGATTACACAAGGCGATGAAAGGAAATATTTCCAACATAGATAACAAGAAGTGGGAGGAACTAGATTTGATAGTTTCAAGTATAATCTGCGTGTCTTTGGCTAAGAATATTCTTGCAAATGTTCTTAGTACATCGTCAGCCAAAGAGTTTGGGAGAAACTTGAAGAGCTATATCAAGAAAAGGATATATCAAATCGTTTATTTTTGAAGGAGCAGTTTCATAGCTTTCGTATGGATGAACATACTAAATTATCTGATCAACTAAGTGTTCTAAATGACATACTATTTGAATTAAGATTGATGATGAAAATAAAGCTTTTAGACTCACATGGTCTCTTCCATCTTCCTATGAGCATATTAAACCTATTTTGATATATGAGAGTGAAACTTTGAGCTTTGAAGAAGTCGCTAGTAAGATTATTCTTGAAGAAAGAAGATTGAAGAGTGAGGATAATACTTCATCAAACTCAGTGTTGTTTGCTAGAGGAAGGTTGTATGCTGAAGAAAAACAATGAAACAGGTGTGAGATGTTCGAAATGTCAAAAGATTGGACGTATAAAGTATAAGTGTCTTGGTGGGGAAGTGCTGGAGAAGGGTTGTAAGTTAAATGCTAGCAATATCTCTCTCGTTGTGAGAGAGAATGGTCTTCTTTGAAAATTATGAAGTGTGTCCTTGCGGCTTTTTTGCTGTCATAAAAAAGGATGAACTATTACTAGTGAGTTATCACATGGACATTGATGCAAAGTGTGTTGTGAAATTATGTCGATGGTTGAAGAGCTTCCTACCAACATGGAAGTTGCACCATGAAATTTAAACCTGGTTTTTGACATGTGAAAATTCTTGAAGTGGTTTACCTTCAAGTGAAGTATACTCTTCTTTAGAAGGAGTATGATAATTTTTAAAACTATGTTTGTCGGTGAAGACAATGTGAAAATTCTTGGAGTGATGTAACTTCAAGTGACTATACTCTTTATAGTGGAGTACGATTGTCAATGAAGACAATGAATGTTAATGTGTTATTTTCAATATAGGTGGAGATTGTAAGGGTTGGTTGAAAATATACATGTTGAAGATGTCTCACATTTGTTAGTTTTGTGAAGGAAGAGAGAGTCTAAGGCTATATATATGATTCAAGTTTTTCGAAGTCTCACATTACTTAGTTCTTCGAGATCTCACATTGCTTAGTTTTAAAAAATAAATAACGGAAATATAACAAAAATAAAATGAAAGAAAATAAAAATTAAAATAAATAAAACATGAATAGATAAGTTATAAGTTTGCTATGAAAAATATTAAAGGAAAAAAATGAGAGAAAATAAATATGTATTGATAAAATAACATATTTTCTATTTAGAAAAGTCAGATATAAGAAAACTGAAATTTGAATTTCATCACAATCAACTAAAATTATTAATTGAGATAATGATGGGGAGTTTTTGGAACATGATTCAACATTTGACAACAATATTTTGTTTTATAGGTTGAGTGAACACTCATTTTAATTCCTAAAAAAATTATATAATTTAAATTAACTCTTGAGAAAATAAAAAACTCTATTTAATTTTTTTATAAAATTTAATCGGACCATATTAGTTTTTATGTTAATATTTTTTCAAATCAATTTTTTTCGTACTTTTTAACTGTGACTGAAGTGTCATGTGCATTATGTATGTCACATTCATTTTTTTTATTAAGTGGATAATTACATTGGATTTTATTTTTTATTTTTTATTTTTTAAAATATTAAATTAATTTTTACTTTTAATTTTAATTTTATTTTTAAACAATTCAGATTTAAAAATATAAATAAATAAAAAAGAAAGTCAAGATTTGTTCTTAGAAAAAATCGAACCCAGAGACTTTTAAACCACATTCTATGCCTTCACTACTTGATGAATGTAAATTGATGACAGATAATTCTCATGATTTGTTGTAATATTAAACAATTCTGAATTTATATAAAAAATATTTTGAAATAAGTAAATATTTATTTGTGTGTTATTTGATAAAATGTAAATCCTATTTCAAAAGATACACAAATTTACTTATTTCAAATTAGTTCAAATTAAATAATAATAATAAATTAATTTATTCGTAAATTAATTTGCTCTGATAGGTGACTGTCAACCTCTGAGCCTACTTTGTCACGTAAAGACCTAAGCTCTTTTTTTTCATAGATTCAGCTGGGATGTGTAACACCCCCTTTCTATACCCCAAATAAACAAATAAATCACTTAATCACTTATTGAAATTTCGTCAGAGTAAATTTAAAATATGGTATAAAAGGAGCATGTCACACATACATGAAAATAAATCATACAACACCTGCTCAAAATGACATGTAATAGTGGGGTAGTTTTGAAATAGAGGACTTGGTCCTTACACCCACATTTCAATTTTTGAAATATCAGCGGAAGATTAAAACATTAAACCATTTGAAAACATAATATCATAAATATACATATCAAATCAGTTTGTTCATCACATCATCATGGTTTTACAAAACACATTTGCCAACAGATACATATACAATGTATCTCAAAAGAATGCTATACAGCCTATCTACCCGGTGCTACATATCAGAGCGACCCGACAAAAGAATGAAGATAAAACTTCACAAAAAGAACCTCCAGCAACCTAATCTGCAATGCCTCATAGAGCATTATAAAACAGCAGAAGGGTGAGAAATATTATCATAATAATCAATGCATATAAACATATATACATATACGAAAATAAAGATACAAATATTTCACAATTCTCACCACAAATCATTCAGAACTCATTATACATTTCACGACATGTATAAACACATATGAATAATCACAAAACATCTTTCACCAACACACCAATCCATTATTCACAATTCACCAAATCACCAAT